TGTTTTAAATTGATTTTCCAAATACAATTTTATTTATTGCTAAGGTACCAATACCGTGTCATTATATTATTATAAATACGGAGGATATTTTAGAACTCTAGAAGGCCTACCATCTCTTGCGGCTTACCTTGTGAGGCACGCAATGCCAACATTAAAATGTACTGTTATTAATGAGAAACTGTTATAATAACAGTGTTTTAAGAAAAAAACAGAAATTGGATGGATTGGCTAATAATGTTTTTCTGTTTTAGTGATGTATTAATCATAGTTCAATAATATGATAAATTTTCATTAATAACACACAACTTTTCCCTGCTGTATGCACGAAATCTGGATTACTTCATATACGTCGTAGCTACAAAATTCTTAAGTAAATTACGATATCTGTAATAAAATAAATGAACAGGAGAGTCTATAAATGGATTACCGAGCTGTGTACCTCATACCAATCAAGGTTTCATTACTGAATCGGTAAAGTAATTTACGCTACCTATTAAGTTCTTAAAAAAATTAATTCAATTTGTAACTCAACAATTATATTATTTTATCGCAGTCGATTACTGCTAAAGATTATTATGACGAAAGACTTCTAAAACTATAAATTGATGTGCTTGCTACTTATTTAGAAGATAAACTTATTTGAAAGGGAATTTGATCAATTGATTATATTGACCAATTATCAGGAGTAGAAAAGATAGCCAAGAAAAAGAAGCACCTTTTATATCGTCTAAAAATTTAGTTAGCAACGGGTAGATCCTCACTGAAAGATATACATTTTGATACAAAACGACACGGGTTTTACTACCATACTGGAACGTTGCCGAAATACTATTGCCTGTCTGAATGCACTACCGTGGATGAAATGCTTACAAGGCGCGCACAGTAAATGTGAATTTCGTATTTATATGCCAAACAAACCACGTAAGTATGGTGTAAAAATATATGCCTTAAATGGAAATATATGTTACACTTCATGTATGGAAGTGTACGTTGTAAAGCAACCTAAAAACGAGTTCTTCGCATTTATAAATCGGTTTGGGTGCCAAAAAGAACAGTAGCTTTATAATAGAGAGATTATATTTATATTATAAATATATTAGAATAGTAGATTTATATTTTTGACGAGCACAGATTTAGCGAACAAGTTGTCTAGTGATAGTAAAATTTCAATAACTAAACAGCAAGCATAAATGAATTTATTATATGTAAAGCTAACAATAAAGAATGTCTTCCTAAGTTATCTTGAAAAGAGGGTGTTCGATCTAATAAATTGGATTTCAGAAAAGTTTTGAACCATCAAGTACAACTATACACAGAAAATTACTACCTTAGTAAAAAAACGAAATCTTGAAGTGACTAACAATAATATTCTGAAAATTAACTATTCATTGTTAACTGCCTTACCATAGAATATATTGGTTATTGTTTATGAATATATAAAAGATAATATGTAAAATACAAAATTATAGTTAAATTGACGACAATCCAGCCATTTAAAACACACGAAGTTTTAAATTCATTCAATGTAAGAAAAGATGCAGGAAATATTTCAAGAGGGAATAAGAACATAAACGTTTAGCAAGATTCGTGAAGTTGCAGATGAAATGATGAAAGAGGTAGAATGCCAACAATGCCATGACCAAAGAAGAAATTTTCAAATACAACAACCATTAAACGGAAATACTATTGTCGCAATAAAAGGAATTTTATTGCAACAACGCAACGGTCGTGAGTATTTAAATGAAATTTTTATATGTCAAAATGTATTAAAAATTATCTCACGTAAATGAAGTTGCTAAAAAATACAATTAAGTCATTATGAATGAAGCAGGATGTTAATTAATAGGATTTAGGACAGCACAGCCAGCTGCACAATGAATTGTAGGAAATAGGTTGCCAATAACTTGCATTCCATTTAAATGGTTTACTGTATTCGTAAAGATTTAAGATTATGTGCTTAATAACTTCTAAACGTTCTTTTTGTTTATCTATAGGAAATTCTACGTATAGTCATAACCATAAATTTGTATTATCTTTTATACGATTTTATGATTTCCAGCATTTGTTCAAAGTATTGCATTGTGTAATACCACGTGTAACATGTGCAATATCTTTGAAGATAATATTGCAGATTGAAACGTGTAAAATAAAACGATGAAAACTAATGATAAAGCAGATGTACAAAATTTTGTATGTTCAAAAATAATTAAAATTCCTTTATTCAATTATTGCATGTTATTGTTTAATTAGAAACCATATGAAAAAATTGGTTTAATAAAAAAATCTGTTCTACTAGGTAACTTTAAATTTGGTAAAATATAATCAAACATTCTTCCATAAGCCCCAGAGTGTCGTTAATCATTTCAAATCCATTTTGAAGGGAAGCTATCCTTAATGTAATTTTTGACAATTTAAAAAATTTGTTGTAAAAACTTACTGATTCTTCTATAACAGTAAAAGTTTCAGTTCTCAATTCCAAACCGTTGCAGAGATAGACTATTTTCCTTAACGTTAAGATAAAGTACCTCTTCGGATTACACAATTTGAGTGTAATTTTATGTATGAATGTTTTAATGTATATTTATAAGAAAAAAAAATTGAAATTTATTCAGGTTAAGAGCCATTTCCGATTGACGGAATGATGTTGATACAGGTCTACGATTTTAATGTAATATCCATTAATCGTACAAATTTCGTCACAGTTCAGTACAAATAGACATAATGCTAAAAATAGCCAAAATACATTAACATGCTTTCAAAACGTATAAAACGTAGAGATCTACCAAAAGCTCTAAAGATCAAATTTTTTTCCGATTAAAAAATAAAGCAAACTGAGCCCAAAATCAAAAAAAGAATATTTTTCGCCAAAAATTTATTTCAGTTAAGTCGGGAAAACGACTCAATCCATTTATTAGAAAAACGACGATTCAAAATTTCCGCATTATTGAATATAAGTACAATAACGTCCCTTTTAAAATTAGGCAATCTTGGAGTTTTTTGGAAAATTTTTAAAGCGAGGAATCTGTTTTTGCCTTATCAAACCGAGGCATTGGAATTTTTATCATATTCGCTCAAACTTGATTAATAGTTTCTGTAAAGTCTTGGCCGTAAGCAACCTCAAGTAAACCCAAAACAGAAGATTTAGGATTTTTGGTTCCGGTCGATGCGTTCAATTGATATCACATCGATACTAAATTGAACAATACATATTAGAGCGAATCTGTTCCAAGCAATTTCGTCTAATGTTAAACCGAAATATCTATGTTTCTGTCTGATCAAGTCAAGGCGTTGGCATTAATATCATATCCAAAATCTATGCCGCAAGTAACCTTGACTAAAATCAAGACAGAAAATGTAGGATATCATCTCATTAAGCCAAAGCGTTGCAATTGATATCGGTCGATTTTCGTAGAAATTACATTTTAGTGAAGTACATCTTGTTTCCAAAGAGATTATTTCCAAATTTTAATGTTCCAAATTACACTTAAAACACGGCTTTCGTCCTTCTTAAACTGCTGCCACGAAATCACATCTCTCTCCTCAATATCCACATTATAGATGGTAATTTTTAGCCAAGGTTTCACCATTTTCACATCTTTTCTTGTGGCTACCTCTGTCAGCACTCTTTTTCTTTTCTGGATGACACCCTATTCAATTTTATTTTTTTTTAAGTCTTGCAAATTTTTCAAACTATGTTGTCCTGTAATTTCCCACTTTTTGCTACTCTGTCACTGACACTAACGCCTCTTGCTTTCCCTTTTTCCTTATCAACTCCTTTACCAGTCCTCCCCAAAGCTTCCAAGCGGACTCTCAATTGTGCAAATTCCTTTGTCATTCTAATTGTTGCTCATTCTAGGTTTCTAGCATTTCATCTGTCGTAGTTAAAAGTGCTTTTAGTTCCTTCCTCATCTTCTCCAGATTGAATTTATTGAAATCCCTATTCCGTTTATCACCATCCTCAACCAGCCTTTTGTCCGTTTCACCATTTTTAACCAAGCTTCGTGACCATCGATAAAGCCATGCCTACTGGAGCCTTTCTTCATCATCGTTCTTGTCCCTTTTTAGCAAAGAATTTTTGAATTGTTTGATAATCTGCTTGGTTGGGTTGGGTCGTAAATATGTAGTGCAAATCAAACACAATATGGAAGCTATTGAGGTTAGGTCAAAAAAATCAAAATTATTTATATATTATTTCTTGGTAAAAATTTGTATTTAGCAGATAGCACTTTAATTTTGGAAATATTTGCATCTCTCATTTCTTTGCATGATTAGGTAATACGTTATAAATGCGTATCCCGTGATGGCTGCCTTCATCTTTCACCATATCCGTCCTGGCATAATCAATCATTGATTGATTGGTTTTGCGAGTGTTATAGACATGGCAGTAGCTATTTATTTTGTAGCTACCATCATTATTTTCGATGTTATCTATATGCAACAAAGAGTCATTAACAACATCTTTACATTCCTTACATCTTCATTTTTTCAAATTCTACTTCTTCACGAAAATGCCCATTAGTATCAACGCGAATCATTTCAACAAATTTAAAAGCAAATCCGAAATCATTTGTCTACAATAAAACAAAATGTTCAAAAAGTCTACAATAAGATATGAAAATGTTAACTATTGGAAATAACAAATAAAAATTGTAGCTAAAATTTTAACATCTCCAGAATTTTATGCGTTTGCTAATGAAGTTGAGGAAAATTTGTAACAAAACTACAATAGAAATTCTTAACGCAGTGTTAATCACATTAATTAAGTATACTATTAACTTTTAACGTCTTAATTATGAATTATTTTAAAACATACAAGTTTTACAACTTGTTTCATTCTTAAAATTTTGTTCTGTAATGAGTTGTAAAAAGAATAAGTAAACAAACCACTCCTCATCAATGAAGTAGCATCGAAAATGGCCCGTTTAAAATTAGAAAGTCGAAAACGTTTACCAAACTGATTTCAAATTAAAAAGAAAAATTTTGATAAAAAAAAGACTTACCTAAGATTCATATCTTCTTTTAGCTCTTAAATCGTCCCTTTGAAATTTTAAATCCCCAAATCCCTAAATCGCATAATTCCTCTTTGCTTTCCCTTTCTTAATTCACCGCACAAAAAAGAATAAAATTAACTCATAAAAATCTTTTCATCATTGAAAAACAAAATCAAGTCAATTTAAAAACAAAAAAAAAACAATGGCTATGGATTGCCTATTGGATATCCCGGGAGATGTCGTCGCAGGAGAACACCCTTAAAATCCACGTGGCCGCCAGGTGGCGTGTGTATCGGTGAAGTTCGCGTCGCACGTGGTTTGGAGCGCGGTAGCGAACAAGCGCGTGCTTGCCCTTAGATTGGAAGCCGCGCAACTGTGGCACGGTGACGGCGTGAGCGCCCGTCTAGTGGGCCGTGGCTAGTCGTCGGTAATCTTCGTCGCTAGGCGACAGAGTATCGCGGCCTCCTGCGACTCTTCACAGCACCAGGAAAAATTACCAAAAAGAATTCCTAATTTCCCGAATAAATTTACCAAAACGATCAAAAAGAAAAATTATCGTTCTCGATTAAAAATTCATTCAAAAAAGTTCAAACACGATTAGTTTATCTTAAATGATAACAAAAATATAATCTAATGTAAATTATAATAAAAACAATACTTTTTCTGGTCCTTCTATTTATTGTCCAACCGGTTTCGGCTTACGCCATCATCAGAGACTTTAAGAATATATTATTGAATTGAATTTGAAAAATTTTTAAAAACATAAATTAACACAATTACACTCAGAATGACGGTACTTATGGTACGGACACATAAATGTCCATTTACGTGTAAATAATTCAATGATATATTCATAAAGTCCCTGATGATGGTGTAAACCGAAACCGGTTAGACAATAAATATAAGGACCAGAAAAAAGTATAACCATTTAACCCTTATTGGGGTTAAATGATACAAAAAAAATCTCATATTTAAACTCATATCAAATTCTTTTCATTCAGAATCATCAATTTCAATTAAAAAGAAACTAGGCTTGTAATTAAAAAATAATAAATAAATATTTATTTTTATCAATCATCACACATCATTAACACATGAGAGTGAGTCTCATCGATTTCTCCGTCGGTTAAATACTAAGAGATTCAAGTTGATGAATGACTTCTTCATGAATAATTCAAATCGGGGTTTCGTTTCCGTGTAAAATGTTAAAATCGCAAATGAATAAAATTGATTTAAGAGTCGGTGAGTTATTTAATGACATCGTATATAAAATAAATGCTGGTTTGGAGTGGTTGAAAAAGATTCGTTGCACTCGAATGCGACCGGTTTAATTAAAACGCAAAAGAACGGTTCGGTTTCGAATCTACTTTTTCGGCGCGGTGCGAACATAAATATTTGACCCCGAGAAAAGAACCGCGCGACGACGAGTAGTTTTCGTCTTATTAATACAAATTGCTTCATTAATATTTAGTTTGTATTCCGTGGTGCGACGGGGAAAAGACCGTTTCAAGTGAAAACAACACCTCTTTCCAACTTCCTTCTTCAGGTTCTAGTTTTTAAAGTTAAATACGTATCGTTAAGTTTAAGATGTTGATGTTTTGGATGCATATTTTATACTTTGTGAAATAAAATGAATAATTGAAAGGTATTGTATAATTTTGAAATGAAAATATAAATTCTATTTAGTGAACCTTATCTAATTAAGAATTTAACAACATTGAATAATTAAAATGATTAATTACATCTAATAATATTATTTCAGTATACACCTTTATTAAACTTTAAGGACACTTGATGAAGACTGATGACGAATGCTTGAAAACAACATTTAGTTAGCACCACTTCATGTATTTTCCACAATTCAAACTCTTCCTTCATAACTTCGTAACTGCCCTCTCCATTAATCCTAGTCCACTTTCAAAAGTCTTAGAATCTACACTTTCAGTTTTTGGTAGGGCAAGTTGAGAACTTTTGAAGAAAAGCTAGTCCATAGTGTCTCCACCTGACTAGTTCTATTGTAATCATTAATTATTTGTGGCTTCTTCTGATCATTCTTAAAATTTTTATCCATATGGTCTATGTGGTAGGTAGGTAGTTAGCTATAACCCTTTTCTAATGGATTTCCAATAATATTGTTTATTTTCTGCCGTATTTTAGAATATGTGAATTCCATATTACAGTATGTTGCAAGTTAGTTTAGGAACAACCAATAGCTCTACGTTGGATAAATTTGCAACAGAATTGACTCCTTCAGAATTACGTCCTGAAGTCGTACTGTTGCTGTTTAAGTAACTATTTAATTGTCTGACATTCTTGGTTAGCTTCTTACTCTTTCTGGATAACAGGTAAAATAAGGTATTCTTTTCAATCGTCATTATCTGGTTTCTTTATTCCATCATAATCAAGTTCTTAAAATAACAACGCCCATCTACACAACAACACCCTCTTTCACATTGCCTCTTGTAAAGCAAAGCAACATTTCTAAATGTCGTTTTTTGTATGTAATGACAAAACTTGTAAAGACACTTCCAAATTCACAAGCACTTCTAGTCCGTAGTTGGTGACCTTTATTTCGGCTAGGATAGTCTTTTTATTCATGAAACAACTTGGATGAATCATCGTGATAACACCTTCACCCATAATAACTCAAAGGTTTCATGAGAATATATCGGAATAAATTTTATAAAATAATAAGTGAGCTCCAGGAAAGTTTTTGCGTCCTTATAATCTTTTGGTTGTGGAAAACAAAGTAAAGGTTCTCCTGGCGGTAGATAAATACCCTACACTCTTTTATTACACATCACAAGAATTCGATTCTCTTCTTTACAAATAAATATTTTATCTAGTTTAAGTTAGAAACGGAATCGCCGTCTTTGGCTAATATGATTACGTCGTCTGTGTATATTAGAATCTTTGCTTAATCCTTAGTTAATGATTGGTATAAAAATGCTACCTAACTTTGAAGCATTGATTGCAAAAGCAAAATGATACTTTCTCAAATTCGTCATCTATCTTAATTTCTCAATTTCATCAGGGTTTGACTTTATGGGTATTACCGCAATCCGGCGAATAACAAATAATAATTATAATGTCTTTATTCATACTCATAAGGCAACAAATTAATAATTCTACTAAATTAAAATTAAAATAACGATGTACGTATGAAAAGGCGAAGTTCAGTGCAAAACCTAGAAACTCGTACAGTTAAAATTTAAAAAAAAAACAAAAGAAGCAAATGTAACAGAGCAAAAAGCAGACATTTAATCATACTATTACCCATTTCTCAAATTCAAATTGGGAATATCAGTGCAGTACTGAATTCTGCAGCACAGGTATTGTGGCATTTCCCTCTGAATTAAGTTGTGGTACAATACACAACTGTGGAGATGTCTCCTATAAGACATATTAAGCCTTTTTACTTCCCATAATTTATATGAAATTCTTTCAAACCTTTTAACATCAAAAACGAATCGCAGGCAAGTGATCAGAAATCAGTCTCTGAAATCAGTTCTAATTAATTCAGAGCATTGCAATTTCCCAGTAAATGGTATCAATAAGTGTCCAATGCTTACCTTTGTAATATTTATAACTGTGATCATTTGTCAAATCCAAAAATCGTCTCCAATGTTTACATTCTTATTTATATTTTGAGTTTAATGACTACGTGATTCATCACATGTTCAGAAATCCTATGATAACAGAAATTATTTGCTGAACTTTAGCTTGGATTCTTTCTCGTTCGAATAAGTTTACCATTTTAATAATTAGATAATGAGAACAAACAAAGATCAATTGAAAGTCTTAATATTGCCATAATAATCATAACATGTTTTTTGTTAATAGTGAACGTAGTCCATGTTTTAATTTTTGTCCAGTAGCTGAAAGAAGTTGTCTGTTCCTCTGAAACACAGCCCACATGTTTTCAGTATAATAGTTAACCAAGTCTATTCTCTCTCACTCTCTCTCTCTATGTTTGAATTATGAAACATTTTTATTGTATTTTCTTAGGCGTTGACTACTATTATTGCAAATCCAAAATAGGTATGGAATCAATGGACAATTCAGGGAGTTTCTCATTACCAACAAAACGAAGGAAGAGAAGTCTAAAGGTTGGATAGACTCAGGAATATTGATTACTAATTCCGAGAAACCAACCTAAAGCCAAAAATTTAAAACTACAAGTGAGATTTATTACGTTTATTTGGGGAGCGATGTGGTGTGATAAAGCTGTAGTGCCAAGATTTTGGAAAGGTATGTATAGATTGTTTGCACATATTGAGAGAATAAAGCATGAATGGGAGGATTGGAAGAGATCGACCTCAGCGAATTTACTTCAGTTACACTGGAGACAGAAAAATAATGTTGAAAAATGCTCGATTATTTGCCGAATTTACTTGTTTTTTAAGACTGTACATTAAAGTTTGTTTTATCCTGGAAAATCAGTCTTTTACATCGTTTCTTCAAAACTTATGTATTTTATACCATTGTAGAGTTTTCTTATGTATGTCATGTTTTTTAGTTCAATAGAATCTAAATATTTGTTTGGTACTAGATAACCTAGTACATTATTTAAAGGGAAAAAGAACGACTTAGAGAAATATTATTAGAGGTATGTTGGTGTAGAAAATGAATTGGAATTTCGTATCGTACAATTGCAAATGGTTGGGGTAAATGAATTATCAGTACGGTAATTTAAGCTTAAAAACGGCTTTAGCTAAGAATATAGCTATAGTAAATATGTACTATGTACATAACAAGATCTAAAGTCTCAGACATGGCATGAATTTTTCAAACGTGAACATTTTTCATCGGTTATACATTAAATTATAATCTCGAAATATTCTGTTCATCACAAACACATTTTTTTCCTAAAAACTAGCACTTCTTATAAAAGTAATCACCGAAAAATCTAGTAATCTAGAATCAATTTCACATCAATAAAGGATATCAAAGTCTTTAAGTATTCACAGTTATCCACGAGGAGGACCTTGATTCATCACATCCATTATTCTTTGCATTGTTGTTACAGTTCTTGTACCTAACACAGCTACTCGTCATTACGAATACATCGAAGATAAAAAAAATTAGTAACGTTTGATGCGAAAACAAGCTCGGTTATCACAGGGCTTTCGAGTGTTGATCGCTAGCTCGACTAGCTTTGCGGTTTTCCAGCACCAATTCGTTAACAATCGGCAAAAATCCGATGAGGATTCTCTCAATGCAGGTAAAAAATTTCCTATAAAATCTTATAACAATTTTTTTTCTAAAAGCAACCACTTTGGATATAATTATAAATATTATAAAAATGTAGTTACATACAAAAATAAAGTGGTTGATTTAAAATTCTTTGCACAAAAATAAACCTTTTGATAATCAT